TATAAATAATTATTTAGTTGTGCACATAAAAAAGGGTTTAATTGCAATATAAATGGCAAATATAATTAAGAACCTTTCATAATATGAAAGTTATCGTGTTTCGCTGTAAAAATCAGTGAAATTTTAAATTCTATGAATAAATCTTATATATTTATTTTTTATTAATTAAATTTATTATAATTAGTTAATTTTTATTTTTTACTATTTTTATTGACCGACACAACTATCCAGTAGTAATCCTGGGTCCGCCATTGATTATAGGGTAAATATTTTTTGCATAGTACGGTGCTAGCAACAGGTAGTGGGTCACGTTCTCATCTATGTGAGCTTCGCAAGCTAGGGCAGCGATGGAAAATAGGCTTTAAAACCAAGGTAAAAATCTTGGGCACTGATTGGATACCAGGGGTACAACCAAATTAGCAACAGGCTTTGCAACTCCAGTCACGGGGAACGATGACGTTTCAGCGTTAATAGTTGGATTATGGTGTTTGCCCTTTGAAGGCTTGAGGACTTTCATGCCCGGGATAGAGATAGCGAATTTCGTTCTTTCTGTGGCTTGTTTTGCAACAAGGCTCCACCCGGAATAGGGTGATTCGAGTCATTGCCTTGCTTTGGCATATATGGAAGGCGCGTAAATGGATAGTGTTTGATTTCAAACAGGTTAAGACTCCTCTACTGGTTATGTAGTACCGGTTCCAAGTGGCGGAGTGGGTAGTTCTCCCTATCCTGGGGGCAGATAGTCGAGCATGGGTGTGACAGGTGTCAAAACATAGCCCGAACCGCAACCCGAATTGACTAAAAGTCAACAACCCGTAACCCGCCCGACTTGCAACCCGATTGACCCGCAACCCAATTAACCCGCAACCCGACTAACCCGCAACCCGATTACCCGAACCCGATTGACCCATAACCCGATTGACCCGCAACCCGATTAACCCGAACCCGATTGACCCGAACCCGACTAACCCGTAACCCGACCCACTCAACCCGAACTTCACCTAATCCACTTGAATAATTATTATAATATACAATACATAGTTTTTCAAAATAAAGTTTTTATTATAAACTTAAGTAAAATTATTTTTCATTTCGTATAGGGAATTTAAAAAACATGAAACTCATTTGATATTATGTATTTTAAGAAACTTACAAAAATTGAAACATGAAGGTCACTTGAACACTAAGCTCTTTAACACAATTAAAAAAGTAAATATAAAATATAAAATCACATAATGTCATGAAGAATTAATAATTGAGATTATGGACAATATTAATATATATATATATAGGTGGCTACTTCGGTGCACTCACACCACCTCTAAAAGTGGTTATAATCAAGGTTCTAAAAGGCGCTAGGCGTAAGGCAAGCGCTCGGCTCCCGACTTGCGCCTTACCTGATTAGGTGTAGCCTAGGCGCGCCTAGGCGTTCAGAGCATAAATGGAAAAAGTTCTCAAATATTTCCTGTTTTCTGGAATAATTCATATAATACAAGTGCATATAAAATTAGCAATGCCTAGTTCTTAAGAGTAAACACTTAACATAACAAATAACAAGCAAATAGTGACCACTTCCTAGAATCACAAGTTCATAAAATGTCGAAATACTAAACAATAGTCAATAAGTTCATAGGAAAATGTTCATTCTTCATCATCCAAGTAGGTCCGTCCAGCCACCACTTCATCTTCATCATCCTCAAATGCAATCTCCTCACCATCCTCCTCCTCTTCAGACTCTATTTCTTCATCATGGAGCTCTCTCACTCGTGCACTCCTGCGAAGCTCACTCTGTTCACCCGCCATTGCATCTGTAACAATACTCGAGGGTGCACAATATGATTCCTCATCCTCATCTACGAATACATACATAGCATGGTCATCCCCTTCCCGTGTTTCTAATTTTCTAGGGCAAGAAGCAATTTTCTGATTTTCTAGGACAAAACGAAGAGTATTGGGTTTAACCGCCTAAGCTTGCCCAGGAACGCCAGGCACGCCTTCTCTCCACTAGGCGTAAACTAAGCGCTATTCCTACCTACTAAGCGCTACCAGCGCCTTTTACAACGCCTATGGCCAAGTCAAGGAGATCCTCCACCGCCTAGCGCCTAATTGAGCCTAGGCGTGCGCCTAGGCGCGCCTTCTTGAACCCTGGTTATAATACATTAAATTTTGAAATTTAATGGGTTGTATTAGTCTAATATGATGATATAACATAGAATCCCAACTAATCAACCCATTACCCTAACCTATTAACCTTCAATTTTGAATCTCAACCCGAAATCCCAAATTGTAAACCCTAACCCTAAATTCCTAAACCCTGAATCATTCAAATTAAAGTGAATCTTGAATGATTTATGTACAAATTCATGTGGTTCTTGTTCATCATACCATAAGTGATGATTGACATCGTTTTCACATGAATCGCCCGCTCAGAATGACGATTATGAGGCGGGTGCATTGAATGCACCCAAAAAAGTGAGTGCACTGAAGACATTACCATATATATAACAAATAGGGCTGCAAAATGAGCCAAGTCGCTCACGAGCGGCTCGACGCTCCGCTCGTTGCCTAATGAGTTGGCTCATTAGCTTGTTCGTTTACTAATGAGCCGAGTCTGAGCCAAGTCTTGTTTTGCTCATTAAACTCGCGAGCTAACTCGACTTGATGGGTCATTGAACCTAACTCGCGAGCTAGCTCGGTTAACGCTCGCGAGCCAGCTCGATAATGTGGCTCACAAGCCAACTCTAGCCTTAATACTCTATACTATATCTCATAGCCTTAATGCTCTATACTAGATCTCATTGCTGGGCTGGAATGATATCATATATAATTTCATTAAGAATATGTAAAGTATATTTATTATTGAAACTATGATTATAATGTATGAAACGTAAATGTCAAAGAAAGCATGTGAGGTTTTTTGTTGGAGATTCTGAGGACGAGCAAAAAAATGGTATTAAAATCAATTTCTATGAGTTATGAAACAGATCATCAAAGGATTTAGAAATGATATATTAATTATGGGACCTCATAGTTTAGCAAAAGGAATGCAGATGAATCAAGTAAGCAGAATGGAGATTGAAATCCCTCTGCGGCAAGAATGGAAAGCAGCAAATATAGATTGTCTTGAGCAAACCACAAGGAACACCTCCGTAAGCATTACAAAACCCCAGGTCAAACTCTTTTCATACATTTAAGGAACACCTTAATTCATCAACATTAAAATTCTGAAAGAGAGCTCACCAATGACCTGGTTCATCAAAGTAGCAGGGGAGATATAGACATCACAAAGTACCAGACTTCAAATGTTAAAATGTCCACTGACACCTCATCCAACAGTTGATGGATCACTGGCTAATCTTATTTGGAGTAGCAAAGAATCCCTTCAAATGATGGTGGGAGCTTCTTCATCACAATGAAAAGATATGTTGCCTTCTGCAGAATGTGATGAAGCTGAAGATAGAGGGTTTGGTTTTATCTGTATTTCTAATTCTACCACATCGACAAACAAAGAGAAACCCTCTACTTCATTCACCTATATAATAGTGGGTGGCATCCCCAATAAAATCAAATCCTTGAGTGGCCTTGCTAGTTGCTGTACTCTGTTTGAGTGGGTTGCAAGTTCGGCCTTTTTAGGGTTTGAAAACGGCTGCTTAGTTGTAGCCTTTGTTGAGTTATGGGGTTTAAAGTCCATGACATTATGTTGTTTGATGAGTTTTTTAATTTGAATGGGCTCGTTGAGTTCCATTCAAGTCGAGCTCTTGTGGCAAATTTGAGTTTGAAATTTTAATTTCGAGTGCGAGGTAAGTTAGTCAATAACTATAACTCTCTATCACTTTTTTAATGTTTTGAAAATCTAAGTATGAATTTCAATTTAAATTACTTATACTAGCAAAATCACAATTTGTAAGGATATATACAACTAAATCACAATTTGTAAGGATATATACAACTTAATATTGTCTATTGAAGGTAAGGTTGACTGGTTGAGTGTAAGGCTACAACTAACTTAATGACGATAATTTTACTAAATTTGGTAGTTAATCTTTAATGGCAACAGTTTAGTGAAGTTATTTGAACAATGGATTATTTTGAAATAACTCCTTTTACCACTCTACTTTTGCCAAATATCACATGCCAAATAATGAGATACTTTAATCCAATTACTACGAAATAATACTAAAATACCAAATAAACAATTAATAGTGTCTTTTGGTTGCAAATGTTGATATCACCATTACTATTAGCTAGTGTACTTTACCAATTACAATTAATTACATAACAAGTTTGCAAGTCATACAAATTGATTCAACATTTTGACTAGTTTACTTTAACTTAAGTATATATACGAGGTAGAAAGAAATCGGTAAAAATTGAGAAAAATATTTTAAATTAGTGTAATAAAATGTGTAAGTTGGTAATGAATAAGGAGTAAGTTACTCGATGCGCTGACCCGAACAACCCGCAACCCGATCCGCCCATAACCCGCTCGACACAAAACCCGATGAACCCGCAACCCGATTTGCCCGCAACCCGATTGAACCCGAACCCGATTAACCCGCAACCCGACTAACCTGCAACCCGTTCGAACCCGAACCCGATGAACCCGAACCCGATAAATCCGTAACCCGATGAACCCGCAACCCGACTAACCCGCAACCCGACTGAACCCAACCCAAACCCGCCCGAACCCGCCCGATTGACACGGTGTCTCAAGGACTGACAGTGGAGGTCCATACATTGCCAAATATCTCTGGTGCTATGTGTTTGTTTGATAGGGGATCACACTCGGAAAATCATTCAGGATGCCACGGGGTATGTGGTGAGGGAGGGGCTTGCGGTGTGAAGGACTTCATGAACCGACGTTGGTCGAGCTGATGACACAATGAGACAGCGATTTTCGGTGGTGTAATAGAGCTAGCAATTGCTATTAGCAGAAGCTATCAGAGAACACGAGGACAAGAAGACATAGGAGCCAATAGGAGACCATGAGAGACAACATAAATCCATGGATTCTACAGAATGCCGGGAGAGGAGAGTGTCGTGCTGTACTGCCTTGTCAAAAGAGGCAGCCAGCCAGTAGACCAAGCAAAACAACAGACAACAAACCATTGGCCTTGTAGCAACCAAAGAATGAGCTACGACGTGTTCTTGTGGTATCTGAATCCTCTTGAGTAGCATGGGTCATAGCAGCTACTAGCAATGACTAACCGGTTGTTCTAAAAAAGAGATACCATCATATGCAAGATTTTTTACATACCAAACATAACACACAAAGCAAGCCAGAATGCGCAAGCATCAAAGATTGAAGACAAGTCATCAATCAATCCTGTCGTTCACAGCCCCGGCAGAAGGAAACCCAGAGAAAAAAAAATATAACTAAAAAACGAAAGAAGTAGGCAATATCTCCTTCTAAAGCCCTAAACTCCAAAAATAAAAAGCCAGTACGAATGTATCAGAACACACATCTCTCTAGTCTCAAACGCCCAGGCATACACTCCAACCAACCTCACAGAAGCTTCAAGAGACGAGGTTCTCATTCAAAGACAGCGAGGACAGCTGATCGGCGGTACCACCTGCTGCCTGATGCTGCTGAACACTCCTCAGCACGTCCATAGCCTCAGCAACCTTTGCCTTCAATGCCTCTGGTGACTCCAACAAGTGCAGAACCTCCGTCTGATCCATCTCCAGAAGCATCCCTGTCACCTTAGCTGCAGCATCTGGCTCCAGTTGTTCCACCAGAGGGTACAGATTCTCACCCAGCATCTACAAGTCGCAGTAGGATCAACATTTAACACCCGAGTTTTCTTGAGATAAACCAGATGAAAACAAGGTTATCTAATGTAATGTGCTTACAGTCCTCTGCTGATCTGGAGTAGCATTAGCAAGTGCAGTAGCCAAAGCCCCTATGGGGATTGGCTGAGAGAGTCCGGCATCACTTCGCATAGGCATACCACCAGCCATGTCATATGGAACAGAGAGCATGCCTCCAGGCCCAGCAACACCAGTCATGGGGCCATCAGGCATACCACGCCCTGGAGGATAGCGGTAGACACGGCCCCCCCTTGGAAGCATCTATCATTGTATAAAATCAATTCAACGAGGACAAAAGAAAGTTCACACTGTTCCATTAGATTAAAACCAATGACAAACACAAACCTGCTGCTGCATGAGTTGAACCGGTTGCTGAGATTGCTGACCAGCCCCTCCCCTTCGACCACCAGGTCGCTGACCCTGCTGACCTGGTGGAACCATTGGGACAAAGTAGTTTTGCATAGGTGCCCCTCCAGGACGCATACCAGGCACAAGCTGTTGCTGATACCCAAATCCAGGCTGACGTGAAATCGGAAACCAAATTCAAAAGTAAGAGAAGGCAATCATGAAAAAAAAAACATGACAGTAACTGAATTGCCATCAAGCATGGGGAGATCAAGCATGTTACCTGCGAAGGTATGATAGCAGGAGGGGCTTGCCCATAGAATATCTGCTGTCCCATTCCAGGTGCCCCAGGAGGATACATTGGCATACGAGGTGCAACAGAAGGTGGCATTGCCAATGGTCGCATTTGAGAAAATTGCGCCTGTGCAGAAAAATACATAGAGCTATCTGCTCTCAGCCAAACTCACAAGAGACAGACAAAAGGAAAAAATCCAAAAGTACCACTGTTTAAAAAAAAAATTCCAAAAATACCACTCAATCCCAAAAAATTCCAAAAATACCACCCTTTTTCAAAAACCGCCACTCCACCCAGCGGTTTGGTCGAAAACCGCTTGTCGGGGGCGCGGATTTGGACCAAACCGCGGGGCTAGGGGGCGGTTATAAAAAAAAAAAATTTTGGACCAAAACCGCTGGGTGGGGTGGCGGTTTGGCCCAAAACCGCCACCCCAACCAGCGGTTTGGTCCAAAAATTCGGTCGAAACTTCAAACGAACGTAACTTTGCACTCGGGTATCCGATCGTAGCGATTCTTTTTTTCATTTCGCATAACTTTTCAAGATCTACAACTTTTACTAGGATGAAATTTTCAAAACAGGAACTATTTGTGGATATACGGGACCTTGAGAATAACTTTACCTTTACTTTTCAGAAATCCATGTGCATTTTGAAATTATGATTATATTAAAAGTTGTAGATCTTGAAAAGTTATGCGGAATAAAAAAAAAATTCATGACATTCGGATTTTGGAGCACAAAGTTGTGGCCGCCCAAAGTTTGACGAAATAAAAAAAATGCCGTTCGGGGTGGCAAATGACGTTTTTTCGAGACGAAGACGGAACCCGACTATTTGAGACTTGCAAGATCTCAAAAAGTGATTCGGATTCAAAAAATGGAGGCCGCAAACTTTTTGAGATCTTGCAAGCCGCAAACCGCCGGGTCTCGCCTTTCGTCAAACTTTGGGCGGCCATAACTTTGTGCTCCAAACTCCGAATGTTATGAACTTTTTTTTTATTCCGCATAACTTTTCAAGATCTACAACTTTTAATATAATCATAATTTTAAAATGTACATGGATTTCTGAAAAGTAAAGGTAAAGTTATTCTCAATGTCCCGTATATCCACAAATAGTTCCTGTTTTGAAAATTTCATCCTAGTAAAAGTTGTAGATCTTGAAAAGTTATGCGAAATGAAAAAAAAAATCGCTACGATCGGATACCCGAGTGCAAAGTTACGTTCGTTTGAAGTTTCGACCGAACTTTTGGACCAAACCGCTGGTTGGGGTGGCGGTTTTGGGCCAAACCGCCACCCCACCCAGCGGTTTTGGTCCAATTTTTTTTTTTTTTTATAACCGCCCCCTAGGCCCGCGGTTTGGTCCAAAACCGCGCCCCCGACAAGCGGTTTTCGACCAAACCGCTGGGTGGGGTGGCGGTTTTTGAAAAAGGGTGGTATTTTTGGAATTTTTTGGGGTTGGGTGGTATTTTTGGAAATTTTTTTCTAAACAGTGGTACTTTTGGATTTTTTCCCAGACAAAAACAAACTTAACAAATGGTGCCGAAGTTGCGAACTTCTTTCCAAGACTATCAAAACATCACTGCACCTGCAGTCTAGCTCTTCTATCTTCCTTCCTTTGAGCAAGTGCAACATACAATGGTTTGCTGACAATCATCTTTCCGTTCATCTCCAAAAGCTATCGACAAAAATAAAAGAATCAACTATGTGTCAATAGTTTAAATGCAGATGAACCATGAAATCAAACTTACAGCTCTATTAGCTTCTTCAGGAGTCGAAAACGCAACAAACCCCGAGCCTCTACTAACGCCACTAGGATCTCGCATGACCTGTTCACAAGATTACCAAAAAAATTAGCTAATTGTTGAAAATCAAACAGGAAGAAAATGGGGATCCCAAACTTCTACCTTGCATGATGTTATTGTACCATATGGGGCGAATAATTCTTTCAGCTTCTCATCAGCTATGCTATCATCTAAATTTTTAACATACAAGTTAGCTCCTTGAAACTTATCAGCAGCCTCTTTCATTGTCTGCTCGAACTTTTGTTTCAGTTCGACTTCCCTCTCAGATTTCTTTTGGGCTTTGGCAACATACCACTCTTTGTCATCAAATTTCTTTCCATTAAGGGCATCAACAGCTCTAGCAGCATCATCACAACTCTCAAAGTTGACGAAACCAAAGCATTTGGATTTTCCTTCTGCATCTCTCATAATCACAGCACTGGTGATTGGTCCAAATTCACCAAAGGCATTCTTCAAATCATCATCAGTGGTGTTGTCGCCAAGATTCTTGACAAACACATTGTTGAATTTGCTCCTGTCATTTGAGGAGTCTCTTTCCTGTTTGCGAAGGAAAGGACCCACAAATACTTGCTTGTCGTTTATCAGCATTCCATTCAATTTCTCTATGGCCTTCTGTGCAGCTTCCTCGGTATCAAACTGGACGAAACCATAACCTTTTGACTGACCAGAAGAATCAGTAGCAACCTTGCAAGAGAGAATGTTCCCAAAGGCCGAAAAGGTTTCATGCAGTGCTTTGTGGTCAATACCCTTGTCCAAATTCTGTCAAGTGCAAATGTTGTATCCTCACACAAATAAACTAGGGAAATAAAAGCAAAATTCAAAGGGCCAGCAAACAATAAGAAACCACCTTTCTGATATATCTACCTTGATAAAAATATTCCCAGCACCACTTTTGCGAATGCTAGGGTCACGGTGAGAATACATGATTCTAACAGGTTTCCCATTGATTGGAGTAAAATTGAGCATATCCAATGCCCTAGCAGCTGTATTCAAGAAGATATATGTGAGAAATTCCTTTCACACAAGATGTATCTTTTGATTCAAGTACAACAATGGATAAATGGAATACCAAATTGCTAAATCCCAATATGTATCAAACCAAAGACAATCTGGATGATGCATCATGCATATATGAAATCAAGTTATCTGTCTATGAATCACTCCACGCATGAAAAACTTCAACGCCACTTTTCCCCAAATCAGGACTCAGAGACGAGTGCAGCAGAGTATCTAACCACAATGCAAATGAAACTGGATTTAATTTTGATCAAAACCTCCATTGGAAATACCATAACTGCTTAAACATTTGGAAAGTTTGACTATACCACAACAAGAGAATTAGTTGGGAAAACATTTTAAAACCATAAAAGAGCAATGCATTTATAATGGCTCTAATTTAAAGGTCACAATACCATTTACAGCCATGAGTGCTAACAATACCCTACATGATGCCACCAAGGAGTAACATCAACAAGAAGGCCATTTGAAAATACTAGTTTCAATCAAGAAGAAACATGCAGCTGGCAAGCAGAGCCACTGAAAATAAGAGGCAGTAAGTTGACTAAGCGGGATCTACAATTACAGGAAACCTAACAAGGTGCTCCAATAGCTGATTGGTTAAGTTTAGGTAAGTTTGACCTGCTGCTGACCAGAGCAAGTTTCATTGTCAATTGATGTCATTTCATCTAAGACTATAGGACCTATAATCTCCTTATGCTTAATATATATCTAACTAAAAGGTCACAATGCTAGGAAAAAACCTACGTGCTGCTATCCAGAATAACATTGACAACAAGGGCATTTGAAAAATAGTTTCAATCAAAAAGAAAAATTCACCAGCTAGCAGAGCAACTGACCATCCAGCAAGACGGGTAAACAGGCCATGTATTTAAAGGAAACCTAAACAAGGGGTTTATTAGCTAATAGCTAATTCATCAGATATTGGTTAAACATTAGGTAAGTTGGAAGCAAAATGAAAAAACATATTTTTTGCAATGAGCACTGAATCAATAATGGCTTTTTATGCTAAAAAATGTATCTCAATAGGTCACAATACCACCATGATTGGAAGCACAAAAACCTACATGCTACTGTCAGCGAGTAACACCCTCGACAAGGCCATTCGAAAAACTACTTTCAATCATCAAGAAAATCTCCCAACAAGCAGGAACTGTATTACATGATACCTAAACAAAGGTAACATCAGCCAATTGGTTAAAGATTGAATAACTTATACACGTTATTGAGAAACAAATTATGGTGGCAATAACAATTCATTCATACCATTGAAGACCACTGCATTCATAATGGTGCTTTATGCGTAATACATTTGATTAACCAGTCAAAATATGATGAAACATGAGTACTAGCAGAAAACCTACGTGTTGCCATCAAGAAATCATACTAGTGTTAGTCAAGAAAGAAAGTTCAATGGCAAGCAGATGCTCTGAGCATAAGAAACGGTAAGACAGGTGTTAAACTAAACAACGGATTCGTTGTAGCATCTCGTTCATAGTGATATGAAAGAAATACCATAACTGACACCACAACATCAGGAAAACAATCACTACCAAAAACATGATCATTCAAACGGTTTCTCAAAAACCCTAAACATAACTACCCTCAACTACAATCATCCTTGCATAGCACCTAGAAAGAGAACTATGATTTACCCGACTGAGTAAAGACTTGTCAAATAAACGAGCCATGACAACAATTCAACGGAGGAATCAACTCCTTACTGCAGTACTGCAAGACGAGTCCCTCCCTTTTCCATTCATTCAACAACACTCTTCAGGACATAAACTCCAATCAAAACAAATAAAAGAAAAAGCAATCAGAAATTACTAACCATCGGGGGCATTGGTGAAGTTGACGTAGCCATAGCCCAGCGACCTGCGAGTGGTCAAGTCCCTGCAAACACGAATCGACACAACCTGGCCGACCTGGGTGAACAGATCGAAAAGCTGCGCCTCAGTGACGTTGAGCTCCAGATCGCCGACGTAGAGCGAAGTGGTGGTGAAATGCGGGTTGTTGTTCGCCCCGCCGTTCACACTTTGCGCTTGAACCGGTACCTGAACCTGAGCCATTTCTTTCAACTCTCTTCGGCTTCCTCCAGAAAAAAACGAATCAAATCTTTCAGTCCAAAAATAAACAACCCGATAAAAATTACCACCCTTATTTCTCGGCTCTCTTTTTTTTTTTTTTTTTTTTTGGGATTTTTCAACTAAGTCTTCCCTCTCCTCTTTTTATTACGACGACTGCAACTGAAACCCTAAAACTCTTCTGACCGGATAGATACGCACACCAACTGTTCGACAAAAGGACTCTGGAGACAACGAGACAAAAGATAATTCAGTTTGAGAATAAACTCTTTTTCATGTTTTTAGTTTGTTTTGGATAGGAGGAGGAGAGGGAAGGAGATGGTGGGGAAGCCGCCGAGGGAGGTGCGGCGGCGACACGCAGAAACGAGCAAAACGGGAGGAACACGAGAGAAAAATAAGGAAACGGACCCGACTGAGCAGTTTTTTTTTTTTTTTTTAAGCCAAGACAACACTCAAATAGGAGAGGCAAAAAAAGAAAAAGGATTGCGTTCAAGGAGTGACTAAAGAAAACCTTTGAGATGACGCCAGATGAGAGATCTCCGCCGTCCGATTTACCGGACCGGGAAACCGCGGGCCCCATAGAGATCAGGAATTCAGGATTATTTTGCCACTGCAACGTGGGCAGATACCGCGTCGTTTTGGGGGCGGGCGGTAGTTTTTTCCCCCGCTCGTTACAGTTTCCTTGGGATGATGATGGAATGTATGATATGAATATTTTAAGAGTAACGGCTAACTTATTAAATTACGGTACTACTGTAATAAACGGATAATTGCAAGTTTAGTCACCAGAATTACTAAAACATGTCATGTTTGTCGCTAAAATTAATTTATTTCATTTATGGTCACTAAAATTAGTTTAACCGTTCAAGTTTAGTCACTTTCCGCCGTTAGTCTCCATTAACTTTTTCTGATGTGGCAATCAACTTTGATAGTTGACCGTTAAATGAGTGACGTGACAAATAAAAAATAATTAAAAAATAAAAACTAATATTTTAGAAATTCCACCTCATTCTTCTTAACTATTAAAAATTAAAATAAAATGAAAAGGATAACCTCTGCCCATCGTGGGAAGAGCTCTCTCCTTTCCCCTTCCACACACAGCAGATTTTTTGGTCGGTAACCACCCCAATCCCCCACAATTGGTGTCCTCCAGTCCATCGCTGCCGTGCGATTGAGACTCTGTTGTTCAAGTGCTTCGTGCGCCACCGTCCCATCTTGGACGCGCTGCCCATTCAACCCTCTCTCCCTTTTCCTGCTCAAGTCCGTTCGTGTCCTCACCTTAGCAACGGATTTGCCACCGCTGCATTGAATCCGACTCAAAGCCACAACATCATTACAGATCTAGCACCGACCCTCACCTCCGTCATCGCCGCTGTCTCTCTCTCTATTACGTGCCTTTGATAGTGAATTGGTTTCGGGAAGGATTTTAGGTTTGTTTCTTGGGTCTAGGAGAAAAAGAGTTGGGAATGGCTTCTTCGAGGCAAATTAAAACTCAAACCCACCACTCCTAAAAACTAGCTACAGAGTTCTATCCCACAACCAACAACCCAATAATGAAATCTCTAATTCTCGGCCACTAAACTACTCGTAACATACCATCCCCTTGAAAAGATTCCTTACCACAAAAGTCAAATTTGAGTTGTGCGGCAAGAGATGAAGTTGTCCTGTTGTTTGATTGTTCCTCTTCGACGTCTTTCATAGTGACGATGCTTTTCGTGGCCAACGCCTCAACTGGGATTGTAGCAACGGCGAGGTTCGACGGGTGCAGCATGCTCGCCGACAAAACATCGGCTGTCACTAGTGGCGCAATTAGCTTCATCGAAAATGCGGGAGGGCCTGTTGGAGCTCTAACTCTGGGTTGCTCTGCCTTCGATTCTTCATCCATCTGCCTCCGGGAAATAAATCAAACGAATCTTGCGACAAGGGACGTAGAATTCTCAATGTTATAATCTCTGACATAATATTCTGACTGAAAGCAGCTTCACGAGGCTCCATAGCGGCGGAAGCTACCGACTCTGATACCAGCGTTTGCCGGGTAGCCGGAAGTGGAGTCAGCGGCGGACGATGATGGATGGGCGATGAGGAGCAAGCGGGCGAAGGTGCGGAGCAGCAAGTTTGATTTTTTTGTGATAATGACGTGGAATTTCTAAATATAATTTTTGTATTTTTTATTTATTTTTCAGTTGTCATGTCACTCATTTAACGGTCAATTATCAGAGTTGACTGCCACATATGAAAAAGTTAACGGAGAGTGATCAAATTTGAATCGTTAAACTAATTTTAGTGACCAAGAATGGAATAAACTAATTTTAGTGGCGAACATGATATTTTTCAGTAATTCCAGTTACCAAACTTGCAATTTACCCCATAATAAACGAAGGTCTACCAAAAACTTGTGGGTCGTCGAGACAGTAATAGCAAAACTAAATCTAATAATGGCTAACTTATTATTATTTGATTTCTTTTTCACCTCATTTCATTTTTCACATTTACTCTTTTTCTTTCCTTTTTTATCAAAGGATGTAATAAAACTAAAGAACATGCACTTCAAGTTTGTAAACAGAAATAAAAAATGCAGAATTAACTTCGCTTTGGGAGAGAAAACAACATTCTCCAAACTAGGCAGAACTAACTTCGCTCTGGGAAAGAAAACAAGGTGCAGGACTTCCCGCTTATTCCCTCTGGCGGTTAAATGGATCGGGAAATCATCGGTCTAAAGAGATGGAAGTCACCGGCGGAGAGGACTGGCGAACCACCTGCGACTGATGCAGCGGAGAAGATCGGCGTCCCTTTGTGATTTCTTAAACCTAGTGCTGAATTAGAAAGAGTAAGTTTCTCCGGGTGCTGAGGGTGACAGGAGAGGGTGCTACGTCTTCCGTGGTAGGGGAGCTCGGATGACGCAGGATTGCGCCGCCGTGGCCTCCATTAATTTAACTTGTGGTTGAAGATGAATTTCTTTCCATCCAAATTTAATTAACTTGTGGCTGCAGTTGAAAATGAAGTTCAACTGAGTTGCTTCTATAGGTGTCAATCGGGCGGGTTCGGGTTGGGTTCAATCGGGTTGGGGGTTAGTCGGATTGCGGGTTACTCGGATTGCGGGTTACTCGGATTCGGGTTCGGGTTCAAACGGGTTGCGGGTTAGTCGGGTTACGGGTTCATCGGGTTCGGGTTCATCGGGTTTTGGGTCGGGCGGGTTGCGGGCGGATCGGGTTTCGGGTTGTTCGGGCCAGCGCATCGAATAACTTACTCTTTACTCGTTACCAACTTACACATTTTATTACACTAATTTATAATATATTTCTCAACTCTTTAACCAATTTATTTCTACCTCGTATATATATACTTAATTTTTTTGAAAAAAACTAGTCAAAATGTTAAATCAATTTGTATGACTTGCAAAATTGTTATGTAATTAATCATAATTGGTAAAGTACACTAGCTAATAGTAATGGTGATATTAATATTTGCAACCAAAAGACACCATTAATTGTTTATTTGATATTTTAGTATTAATTCAGTAGTAATTGGATTAAAGTATCTCGTTTAGTATAACCATGCAAATCTGATATTTGGCTTGTGGTATTTGGCAAAAGCATAGTGATAAAAGGAGTTATTTTGAAATAACTCATTGCCCAAATAACTTCAGTAAACTGTTGCCAAACGAGTTATTTGTAAAATTGTTCGAATTATCCTAAAAATTGAACCATTAAAGATTAACTATCAAATTTAGTAAAATTATTGTGACTTCAATCATAACTTACTCAATAACATATATCCTATACATTTAGCCTTACCCTCAATCGACAATATTAAGTTAGTATATATTGTTGATTGTATACCCTAAACCATCAATACATTATACACTAACCACATACCCTATACCCTATACCCTAACCATATGTCATTGAGTTGTGATTTTGCTAGTATAGTTAATTTAAAAGTGAAATTCATACTTTGATTTTCAAAACATAGATAAAAAGTGGCATTTGCTAATTGCTATACCCTAACCATATATCCTATACTCTACACCACATACATTGTACCCTAAGCACGTACCATAAACATAAACTAAAAAGGGATCTCCTGTCGTTAAAGATTTCAAATGACTTCAAGTGAACATATGTTAATAAAAAACTTAGAACCGTCAAAACCATCAATATCTTATACAATAACCATATACACCTTAAACCATTTGTACCTTATACCCTATACCCTAACCATATACTTTATACCCTAAACAACGAACCGTCAAAAATTACTTATCAAGTTTAGTATAATTGTTGTCACTAATGATTAATTCACTTAATAGAACAAATTATGAACGTTCATAAATCTCTATACCCAAATTATCTAAAATCTCTATAGACTAAGTCTCTATATCCTTTACAACTTTAAATGAAGCAAATATGGTTATAAAATATTTTAACATATTTTTTAATCAGTATACTTACATAAGACTACTAATAGTAATAGTATATATTTTTTCGGCTCTAAAAATTTGGGAGGGAAATATCCCTCCAACTTTTTTGCCAAGCCAAAATTTAAGGATAGAAAATTTTCCGGGTAATTAGCATAAATGGTAACAAACCTTTGCACTTAGTACAAAATGGTCACAAACCTTTTATTTGTAACAATACGGTAACAAAACTTTGAAATTGTATAAAATGGTCACCGCTATTTAATTTATGACCGTTTTGTTTTAAGTGCAAAGGTTTGTTACCGAATCGTTACAAATTAAATGTTGGTCATGTTTTGAGGTCGGGTAGTTTGTTCGTTAAGTATATGACACTAACCACTTGAACGACATATAAGATGTCAGGTCATGTGTGCATCGACATATTTGTTTTGCCGAATAAGAATGCCCTCAGTTGACCTTTCAATTTCGATACCAAGAAAGTAAGAAAGTAGACATAGTTTTTTCAACTAAAAAGCAGTCTGGAACCCGTTTGTGAGCCATTGAGTTCTCTCATTGTCATCCTAAACCACATAATATCATTCACATACATTAACAAAACCACCATACAACTAGAGTGAATTGTAACGGTGATTGAGCGTGCAAACTTTTGAACTTAATTTGTACAAAACGGTCACCAAAAGTCTGATTTGCGACGACACGGTAACAAAAGTTTGAACTAGTATGAAATGGTCACAGTGTTTAATTTGTGACCGTTTTGTTCTAAGTAAAAAAGTTTTGTTATCAAATGGTTACAAATTAAAGGTTTGGGACTGTTTTGTACTAAGTGCAAAGGTTTGTGACCATTTATGCTAATTACCCAAAAATTCCCTCCCACCAACATGTTTGACCGACTTATTTTTTGGCTCCCGAAAAATTTCAAAGTGCCCGCCCTGCTGAAAATTTCAACAACGAAGATCCACCCTTCATTATCACATTCCTCTCCCTCTCTCCACTACAGCAGCCACTATCTCTATCTTATTTTTTTTCTTCCTTCTGTTCATCTTCTTCTTTCTCTTTTCTGTCCAATCAAAGTGACGAAGATCGACGACGGCACAGCCAACGCCCGCTGCTCCAACTTTCTGTGTTCCCCTTATCCTCTTCTCTTATCTTTTCCCTCGATCTCTTCGAAAGAGGTAATCGAAAGAATGAAATTTGCTTCCTCTCACTCTCCCTTTTGTTTTGTAAAACCCTCTTCTTATTCCCTCTCCTCGCGGTCATACCTTCTCGATCGCGCCCTTCTGTCCCCAAGCTGCTGTTACCAAGCTTCCCCAAATCAAAGAAGGGATTAAAAATCCCTGTCCTCGCCGTCGTGCTTCACGAAGACCTGCTCTTCTCCCATCGGTCCGTCTCCAACTTTTTGCGCCCAGGTCCAATCGCCCCCCAGACTCCCTTTCCCCGTCCAGATCCAATCGCTCGGATCTAATCCCCGCCACGTATCTTGTTCTTCATCGATCTGCCGCTTCTCTGCTCTCCTCGGTTCCGAGACAAAAAAGTTGCGACAATGATTGAGAAAACTGACGACAATGGCGACGTCTCAATTAGGGCTGTTTGATTTTGTGGTTGGGTTTGTGGGTGTGGGTGGCGACATCTAAATTAGGGTTGCTTTAATTTATCTGCATTTTCATTGTTCTTATTGTTTCTTTGCTCTATTTCAAATAAAGTTGCCTTGTGAAGTTATACGACTTCGTTACTGTATTTGTAAGGCTAGACCTGAAAGGTATTATTTAGTGGGTTTGTGTTTTTTTTCTTCTGCGTGGGCCAAGAAATGATTAGAGAAATTAGTGGGTTTGCCGAGACTATTATGTGATTCAATTTAATGGCAATTTTCAACACAAAGTAAATCTTTGTTCTTTGTGGGAAAAATGAAAAAATAATAGGGCAAGCCACAAATATGTTATCTACATATAAATATATAGTAAAATATATTATGTAGTATTATTTGTGCCAATCGGGCGGGTTCGGGTTGGGTTAGTCGGGTTGCGGGTCAATCGGGTTCGGGTCAAGCGGGTTGCGGGTCAAGCGGATTGCGGGTTAATCGAGTTACGGGTCAATTGGGTTGCGGGTCGGGCGGGTTGCGGGTCTTTGACTTTTAGTCAAATCGGGTTGCGGGCGAGTTACGGATCGGATTGGTTGGTCGGGTTACTCGGGTCGGGTCACGTTTTGACACCTATAGTTGCTTCGCTTGCCCTCTTTGGTTTTTTGCTGCAAGGCCTCGAATTCGCCTCTGTGTGACCTTATTGAACAAGGCCTCATTCCCTGATGGGATTCTTCCATTTCCCTTAACTGATTTTCTATTCTCAATTTTAATTCCGATTTTAGGTTTCCTCCGCTTTTGGGTGATGCAAATTCTAATGGTGTTGTTAGTCTATGCTTGCTATGGGGCACCTTTCATTTTCTTTTTGCAGGTTGTTGTGAACGACGCGGTCTCTGCCCTTTCCTCTCCATGCCCCCTCACCATCATTGGCGTCGCCGGTGCCGTCACAAGCTTCTAGCACTGTAATGTACACGTGGGCTGATTTCCCTGATCATTTAATATATGACTGCCAGGTGGTATGGCATCTGTTGCATTTATTAGGACACTGACAGAGCTGCCCATTTAGTGGCTAAAAAGGCTCTTTTATCGGCGGATGATTAGCTATCGACCGCCGCATTTGGTTATTTCATTTACTACATATTTGTAAGCATACTTCATTGTACACCTATCTATGACAATATACATCTATCTATAACAAAAAAAAAAACTAGATTCAGTTGTTTAATGAGCTGCTAAATAAATTTTGATGATTTTTTTATTTGGGAATTTATTTTTATAAGATTTATTTGTGAAGTTTACGGAATAAAAACTTTGTTCAATAAATTGCCAAGTTTTGTGATTACATTCTAAAATACCAGATTTATTCCCATATTTTACATTGTGTATTTAACTTTGAAGATAAAAGTTAATTATGAATCGATATAATCACTGGTATCGAATGTCATCGATTATGATCACTTTAAATACAAAATTATAATAAAAATTTTTCTCTACTAGTGCTTAAAATAGATTTCAGTTGCTTTCATTAGCGTGTTACAAGCAGCAAGTTTCAAATTGATAATACTTTTGTCCATAAAGCATTATATAGTTATACAGTGTTTTCTACAAATATAGCTTGAGAAAAAAAGTAATTCGAGGGACCGTAGTTGGACGGAGGCTAACAAGAGAATGATTAAATGTAACCTGTTTTAGAAATTCGGGTGACCAAAATTGATATTAAATTTTTCTAGTGACTAAACATAACACGATTTAGTAATCTCAGTGACCAAATGTGACATTTACCCATTATATAATTGTTTGCCAACTTTTGTGCTTACCGTTGCTAAATTATTTGATTTATTCATCATTCCAAATTTGTACTTCTTATTTGTGTTTCACAATAAATTCTTTTACTGAAATCGCCTAAAGTTGTAGATCTCTCACAACGGTCAAAATCTAGCAGTGTTGAGTGAGGCGATACCAAGGACTGAGGCCCCGGTCAATCGTCCCACGAGCCAGAACACCGGTGTGCACCGCCCATCGACAAAAACACCATCACCATACAATAGAAGAGACACCGGTCAATCGTCCCACAAGCCAGAACATCGGTGTGCACCGCCCATCGAAAAAAACACCATCACCATACAATATAAGCGACAAAGAAATCTTACGGTTAGGAAGAGAGTCAAACCTATTCCTACCAACCCCCTCTTTGAGATGGAGGCAGGAAGAAGCAACGATCAATGATGAGAAGCATACCATGGGGTGTTGGCGTTCCTTGAGAGTCCATGTTGGTGTGGGCCCAATTACCAGCACTCGCGATATAATTCTTCAATAAGGAAGCTGTGAAAAGAATCGCATCACGCATAAGTAAACCCATTAGAGTTGATAGAGATACTCAAATAGGGGAGTGAGGCCGATTTAGACATGTCTGCATCGAGATTTATGACTTATCAAGGATTCTCTACAATATAAACTGAAATGAAATGAAGTAGGGAGTTAAAATCATTCATCTGACTAGAGACTAAGGAGATTCATTACTTGCATGACCTTTTTCCATTTAAATTTTGACCAAATTACTTTGCTTTGTCAATTTCTTGCATTCAACATGAACTTGGATAACATATTTATTCTAAGTAATAGTACATCTGAGGACTCGAGGATTAGATATTTTACTAGTTGTGCCACTGCAGCACATTCCATTTCGCTAGTTTCACTTGGTTAGGGTTAGGAGTGTAGTTTGTAGAGACCACATTAAGGGAGTCTCCGTGTTGTGCAAGCAGTCGGTGAATAAGATGTCAAAGAACAACGCAAAGAGCTTCAAGTGCCCGTACTGTCCTACGGAGATCGATTCAACAAAGTGTCGACAGCTGCATTTGTGAACTACTAATGTACTACTCCTGGGAAGATGGATACTTTACTGGTGGTCTGTACATTCGGTGGTTTGTTGTATGATCTCGGAACCGGTTTCATGGGTGTTGTTTAAGTGTGTGCTATGATAGCGTGGGAGAAGATGATTTGTTAGCTCTTTGATGTACCAAAAAGATTAGATGCAGGTTCCCTATAAATAGACAATTTTTTCTAATCCTTTTTAGGATAATGCTACACCATGAATTATTTGTCGCAAACTCACAACTCACATATCATAGCCATGGCTGCCGCTTTAGTTCATCAATAAGATCATTTAAACTGAAATGCGAATATCCACCTTCCTCAACAGCCGTCTTTGCCATTTTCCCAAGCTCCTTAGCCTTTCTTCTCATCCCTTTCCCTTTCTTCCCTCTCCATTATCTTCCTCACAACAATCTCAATCCCCTCCGCCTTTACTCCCGTCCTTCTCACCCACTTATTTGCGCCGAGCGGAACCCCAAACCCCAACACCTTCGTCACCTACTTCTCGTTGTAGAACTGTACCAACGCCACTGGCCATGTCACCATCGCCTTCCCGGGAACTATTCCTTCTAGCGTCGAATTCCATCCATAGTGCGTCATGAATCCTCCAATGGAAGCATGTTCCACTATCAGAACCCGCAACATTCATCCTCTTATTATCAAACCCTTAATCCCTCTCGATGCAGTCCTCTCTTCGAATCCATTTGGAAGCCACGTTTCTTCTTTGTAATTGGACTCGGTTCTTGTGTCTTTTCTCACGACCTAGATAAAACCTCTCGCCCCACGATTCCAATTCCATCGCGATTCCAAGCTCCAACCATTTCAAGCAGTCAAATCCTGATTCTCTTCCACCGCTTTCTGCTTTCTTCTTGAATCTTCGATTACACAATGAAACATGGCCGATTGCCCAATTTCTTCTTCCCAATTCCTCTCGCCGTAGATGTTGGAGATTATCCTGTAGCTTCTCACCTCTTATTCAATAATCTCGTCAATCAGCTTCGTGAATGTGTTCTCCAGCCCGTTCCTGGTGATCTCTGACATCTGGCTCCGTGTAAGCTCGATTCCTTCGGGTAGATCCGGAACAAGAAAAGGATCCGAGTCCGACGAAGTCTACATGTCCGACTTATGAATTTTGAGGCACTTGCCGAAACAGAGGGAGAAATAGTTGGTGTCTTGGAAGACCAATCTTGGGATTCCGAGCCTGGCCGCTGCATCCGTAGCCGCGGAGAAGAAAATGTCGGCGACTAGACAATTGAAAGAGCACGGATCTAGGTGTGCGATTGATGATCGTGATTGGTATGAGAATTAGGGATTTGGGATGAGGTAGAATTGGGGAATTAGGGTTGAGAGAAGAGGTTTCCGGTCACCGGGATGGTGGCCGACGAGTTGGAGAGGGGAAGAGAGGGTTCGGCTATGATAGGGAGAGAGAGAGAGCTTTAGGGAATAATTCTGTTTTTATTGCTTAACCCTAGCTTATGCCTAACACAGAATATATATAAACCGACTAATTCCCTATAACTACCCAAAGACTTAACCTAACCGATTTAACCTCAATAGTTCCCAAAATAGCCAACATAATATAAAACGTCAAATAACAAATAAACCCCAAATTACTAAATGTCTGACATTCCATCCCCCTTGAAACCCATCTTGCCCTCAAGGTGGACCTTCTTTCTTCCCTTCCTTCTTCTCTTCCGCTTCTCGCGCCTCCATTTCCTCTCCTTCATCTTCCCAGTTCCCCACCAGCAGCATGAGATGACCCTTGGCGCATTGATGCCCCACTGTATACCTTTTGTCGCAGTTGAAGCAACGTCCGTCTCTGCGCTTCTGATCCATTTCCGCCTGTGTTAGCCGGACAAACCCTTTTGGCGGCAGCCTCGACTGGAATCTGCTCGCTGCTGTTGCGCCGGTGGCCGCCGGGTTTGCATTTCCCGTCGGTGGCGAGGTACCCGCTCCTGCTCCCACTCCTCCGCTGGCCTTCTGAATACGTCCAGCCGACGTCCTCCAACTAGCCAGCTCCTCTTCCTTGCGCCCTGCAATCCTGAAAGCAACTCGAAGAGAGTCAGGTTCGAAAACCTTTACTGCGGTTGCCAGCTCCGGGCGAAGTCCCGCCATACACAATCCCACCAGGGTCTCTTCCGTCATTTCCTTGCACTGGTTTCCCAGTTTAAGGAACTCCGCGCGATACTCGGCCACCGACCCTGTCTGCCTGAGCTTGGCCAGCTGTTCCGGGGCCCATCCCTCCGCCTTGCCAAACTGGTAGCGTAGCTCATCCTGGAACCTGGGCCACGAGATGAACTCACCTGCTGCTGCATAGGCCCGCTCGGTCCATTACCACCACTGGAGCGCATCCCCTTCAAGATAGAAGGATGCCAGGTGCGCCTTCCTCTCTTCTCGGATCGGGTGGTTCCGGAACCACCTCTCAGCTGCATACAACCACAAACCCACATCTCCCGAGCCATCGAATTTGGGAAACTCTATCACTGGCGGTTTAGCTCTAAATACCAATTCCTCTTCAGTCTCATACAGAGGGTTATGGTACTCATACCTGCCTGTGTTCGGTGGTGGAGGTGGCCGATTTCCCGGTCCTTGACGGTAGTGGCTGCCCGCGGCTTGCTGCTGGGGAGCGTAAGGCCAGTCGCCCGTCACCTCCTGGTGGTTCCCCTAGTACTCGGGTTTGGTCCCCGACCCTTGCCCGATCTCCTGCCAGCCTCGACCGCGTCCTCCTCTTGTCCGTGGTGTGCTCCATGGAGGGTACCCGTGCTCCGGGCCCCTGCCGGGACCTCTGCTCGGCCCATACCAGCTGCTGCCCGCCTGCGGATGACCCGGACCGGTTCGGTTCGGTCCAACCGGTTCGATCCGACCGGTTTTGGTCCGACCGGCTGCCCACCCTGTGACCAGCCCGGTTTCGGCCCAGCGACCCAGCCCCATCTCGCCTCCTCTGGGCTCGGGTCCATCCAACCCTCCGGATCTCCAAAACTCAACTCCTCCTCCTCGGGCCAGGGTTCTTCTCTGTCAGGCCCAAATGACATTGGCTCGCCTTCGTACCCGGCCATCTTCTGCTTTCCTTGGGCCTTGTCTTGGGCCGGGTCCGTCGGAGTTGGCAGCAAGCCAGGCCCGCTGAATGCAGGCACGATTGCAGACCCGGCGCCCGAATTCCCCGGCGCCCCTCCCGACGCGGCCGTTCCCTGCGTCGTTCCGGCCTCGGTCCCGCCGCCCGGCAGCGTCTCCGCCGCCTTCTCCTCCCGGTGCGCGCGCGCCCCGGCCTGCCCCACGCCCGCGTCGCCGCGCGGCGCCCCCTGCGCCCCCGAGCCCGCTGCGGCGGCTGCTGCCGGCGCCACCACTATAGCCGGAGCCGCCAGCGGCTCCCTGTTCTTCAGGACTTGGGTCAGCACCTCCTGCATTGTCGCCGCCAAGGCTCCACAGATATTTTCAGCCACACTCTTGCCCATCTCTTCGATGGAGGCCTTGATTTGGTCACCCATAGCTTCGATGGCTCCGATCGAGCCTTTCGAAGCCTCCGCTGCCCTCACAGTGACCTCGGTCAGACTCTCCAACGACGCTGCCAGTGCGTCATACTTGTTGTTCGTCACATCCTTGACTGTCACCACCTCTTTGGCCTGGCGCGGCGGTAGCTGTTTGTCCGCAGGGTTCGACATCGTCAGACTGTAGTATTTCTTCAGAGAATCGGCACACCAGCCAGGCTCTGATACCACTGAAAGAGCACGGATCTAGGTGTGCGATTGATGATCGTGATTGGTATGAGAATTAGGGATTTGGGATGAGGTAGAATTGGGGAATTAGGGTTGAGAGAAGAGGTTTCCGGTCACCGGGATGGTGGCCGACGAGTTGGAGAGGGGAAGAGAGGGTTCGGCTATGATAGGGAGAGAGAGAGAGCTTTAGGGAATAATTCTGTTGTTATTGCTTAACCCTAGCTTATGCCTAACACAGAATATATATAAACCGACTAATTCCCTATAACTACCCAAAGACTTAACCTAACCGATTTAACCTCAATAGTTCCCAAAATAGCCAACATAATATAAAACGTCAAATAACAAATAAACCCCAAATTACTAAATGTCTGACAACAATGGGGTCGGATCCGCTTCAAAACCCCTTCCAGGGGTTCCCGGAGCAGAGCAGTAGCTCGAAGGAACTTGTAAATGAACTCGGGACCCAGTTTCTGGGATTCGGAGGAGATGAAATCAAAGTTCTCTGATTGTGAAAAACACGGCCTAGCTGTGAAAAACACGGGCTGGTTAAGAGGTCGGGTTTCGAAACGGGCCTCCTGCCTCCGTCGCCTTCTTTTCTGTTTTCAGACAGACTCCACACACGAACAACTCAACCAAAAACAAAAATGAGAAGAAAAGGAAAAAGAATACAAACCGTGGTGGGGTTGCCTCCCCACAAGCGCTTCTTTACCGTCTTTTAGCTGGACGCCACTAGAGGAACTAAGGGTCCTCGAGCTTAATCAGCAGCTCTGTGCGTTCAACATCAACTCCCAAATACAACTTGAAGAGGTGACCGTTCACTTTGAACGGCTCAGTTTGAGCATTGCTGATCTCCACCGCACCGTGCGGGAATACTTGGGTGATCGTGAAGGCTCCCTACCACCTCAAACGCAGTTTATCCGGAAAGAGTTTTAGGCGTGCATTAAAGAGCAAAACATGATCTCCTACTTGAAACTCCTTCGGGCCCTTCGAACGAGCGTCGTGGAGACGCTTGGTTCACTCCTTGTAGAGCAGGGTGTTCTCGTAGGAGTGGTAACGCCATTCCTCCAACTCCAGCAGTTGCAGCTTACGTTCAGTACATGCAACACTCAAATCCAGATTTAGCAGTTTAAGGGCTCAGAAGGCCTTGCTCTACAGGCAAATGACACGCCTTCCCATAGACAAGCCTATATGGTGAAGTACCAATCGTGGTTTTGTAGGCTGTCCTATATGCCCAGAGAGCATCATCTAGCTTGGTAGACCAATCCTTTCGGGACTGATCCACCGTATTTTCAATTATTCTTTTAAGCTCCTGGTTCGTCAGCTCGGCTTGACCATTATTTTGGGGATGGTAAGCCACCGACACCTGATGCTTAACACCATAGAGAGAGAGAGGAGTTTAGTGAATTGCCCTTGAAAATGGGTTCCTCTGTCGCTTATGATGGCGCGAGGTATGACGAACTGGGAGATCAACTGCTTCAGAAATGACCAGACCCGTCTTGCATCATTGGTGGGCAGGGCTTGAGCTTCTGCCCACCTTGAGACGTAGTCTACCGCAACCAGTATGTACAAGTTATCGAAATATGGAGGGAATGGGCCCATGAAATCGATGCCCCAAATATTAAAAAAATTTCACAAACGTTAGATATATGTTGGGGCATCTCATCCCGGGAAGAAATGTTACCTGTCCTGTGGCAGCGGTCGCACTATCGTGCGAAGGTGTCTGCATCCTTGAAGAGTAAGGGCCAATAGAAGCCCGACTGTAGCACCTTCCGCGTTGTGCGGTTTTCTCCATGATGGCCGCTAGTAGGTCCCTCGTGGCATTGAGACAGGATGTCTCCCATCTCGTGATCCATGATGCAGCGCCGTATCACGCCATCTGCTCAGACCCTGAAGAGGTAAGGATCCTCCCAGAAAATAATGCTTCAGATC